TGCATGCAAACCATTGGAAACCCACAGAAAACAAGAAAATCCCCCACTTTGTCACAGATGCACACAGCTGTGCTGGGCATCTGGTCTCCCCGTACAACGGGGCAGAGACGGGCACCAAGTCCAGGATGGAGGGAGGTGTCTAGTGCCCCACACACGGGCACCAGTCAGCTGGAGCCGCTCTCGCCTGCTGGCCCAATGACCCTGCTCAAAGCCTCGCCCCCCCCCCAGCAGAGACGGGGGGTTGAACCTGGGACTCCCCCTGGCGCCTGCTCTAACTCCTGGCCTAGCACCACCCCCGCCTCCTGATCCCGCCTGGCCCTGCACCTGAGCCAGGGGGCCAAACACCATCTGCGGGGGGCCCACGAGGCCTAGCGCTGGGCACAGGCCTGTGCTTCGCACCACTGCCCACTCTCAGCTCCCGGTGCCCCACCCTCACTGTGCTGCCCCCCAGGCTTGTGCCCCGGCAGCGAGGGCAGCGCAGGGCTTTTCACACTCAGCCACAGCCAACTGGCTCGCTGCCACCACCCTCCGCGGGCCCAGAGACTGGTGGGGAGGGTCCCACGGCCTCCGTCACAGCCCCGGTAACACCCCTTCCCCAGCACCCTGTCCCCAGCCCACCCCCCAGACCCCCTGGGGACGGCCGCAGGCCAGGGCAGGAGCCCTCAGCTGCCAAGGAGCAGCCGCCCCTCCTGTCAGCACTGACCCCCACGGCGCAGCAGAGCCTGGCCCAAGAGCCTCCGTGCAGCCCTGTCCCCCGGTGCCCCCTTGGCAACATCACACGGGGAGACTGAGGCCGAGGGAAGGCCCCTGCCAAAGGTCTCACAGAGAGTTGGTGGGAATGGAACCCAGGAGTCCGGGCTCCCTGCCCCACTGCCCGTAACCACTGGGCCCCCCTTGGCTCTGAGACGGGCATGTCTAGACCCCAGCGCAGTGGACACCGCCCCACCCAGGGAGGGGTTTGGGTTACAGTGGCTTCGGGGCAGGTGGCCGGGCCACCAGGGCTGGGCCCTTCCCTTGTGTCCTCACATTAACCCCCCGGCCAAGGACCCAAGACGCCCCAGGCTCTCCCGGGCTGGGAGCCGCCTGGTCGGGTGGGGGATTCACCCCGGGGGCTCCCACCCCCCTCCCTGGCTGGGCCCCTCCGGGCTGGATCACCAGGCCCCTGGGCTGGGAACAGTGGCCGCAGGGCCGACGCGCGACGAGCCACACACCAGGCAGCACGGCTCCCACTGGGTTTATTTCTTTCACAGACACACACAGGAGAGAGTCCACAAGCCCCCCGCTCTGAGCCGGTGCCCCAGCCAACCCATCTCACCAGGACCGGGGGGAGGAGAGTTCCTGCCACGTCTCCCCATCTGCAGCCCATCTCTCCGGCCCCAGAGCCCTGCTGTCCCCCACCCAGCCCTTAGGACACACCGTCAGCCTCCTGGGACCCCCAGCCCGGCTCCGCTCAGCCGAACGCCCGTGTGCGCATGGGGCTGCGGGTACCAGCCAGCGCCAGAACTGCAGCTCCCGTCACATCAGGACCCAGGAGTGTCTGGCAGAGATCTGGGGGGGGAAGTGGGGCCGTCTCCAGAGAGGTGCCAGGCGGCAGCGGGGGCCCCAGAGTGGAGAGCAGGGAGGAACCAGCCCCTGGCATGCCCCAAACCCCAGGGAACCTGGGCTGGCCTGATGCAAAGGGCAGCAGCCCGACCCCCCGTGACAGGGGGCCCTGCATAGCCCTGCCATGCCGGCAAGGAGGGGGAGGGGGCCTGCCGGAGTGCCGTACCGGCCCCCGGGCGGGGGAGTCCAACCGGGGCTGCCTGAACCAGCCACTCACCCTGTGCCCCCGGCACTACGTGGGCAGGGCCAGCTTGGGGCTCACGGCACACCGGGCATGCCAGCCCTGCCCACGCCAGCACCGTGTGCCCCGGGCTCTGAGCAGGGCCCCTGGGGCTAATACCCCTCGTGATGGCAGCACGCGGCCGGGGCAGCGAAGGCACGTGCGTGCTCACCCTGTGATGCCACCTGCAGCACCCAGGGGCCCGCCTGTGGGGCCCCCCCAGCCCACTCGCCACTGGACACATTTGACTGGGTGCCCGGCCCACAGCCCTGGGAGGCCCCGTCCCCCCCGCCCCTGAGCTGCAGCCATGGGCTCTCCAGCGCCTCCTGCAGGGGCTGCCCCAGGTACACCTGGTTTATAATGGCCTGGGCCAGGGCCAGTGGGGCCGCACTGCCCCCTGTGGCCCCCAGCCCCACCACTGTCCCCTCTTCCCCCAGGCTCAGCACCACGGGGCAGGCCCAGGAGAGCAGGCCAGGCCCCGCGGGCGCTGTCAGGTCACTCACGAGGATGCCCGAGGCGGGCGCCAGGAATTTGGAGCCGAAGGAGCTGTTGAGAGAGGCCGAGAGCAGCAGCAGGTTCCCCTGGCTGTCTGCCACTGCCAGGTGGCTGCCCACGGGCGAGGGGGCCCTGGCAGGGCGAGGGGGCCGGGGTGAGGGGCCCCCACCCACGGCCCCCCCAAGCCCCCGGGAGTAGCCACGCCAGGCCGCGCTCAGGGCCCTCAGGCAGGGATCAGGCGCGTCCCGGGGCTCGGCTGCCCGCACCTCCTCGAGGACGCTGGCCAGCAAGCTGCCGGCGGCGGGGGCCGGGGCTCCATACAGCCAGGTGTCGCCCAGCTGCATGGCCAGGGGGCTCTGCAGCGCCAGCCCCACGTCCCCCATGGCCTGCAGGAAGGGCTCCCGCTCGGCAGGGGGCAGGTCCGGGGCCAGGGCCTGGGGCAGGGCCTCGTCCCCTGACGCCACCGCCCGGAGCAGGGCCGCCAGCCGGGGGTGGGAGACCAGCGCGCCCTGGCCCTTCAGCTCGCCGGCCCCGTCGCAGAAGAGGCTGCAGAGGCCTGAGGCCTTTACCGCGCCCGCGCTCTCCTGCAGGGCCGCAGCCAGCTCCTGGTCCACACGGAAGCCTCTCTCCGCCAGCGCCGCCGGCCCCTCCAGCAGGCGCGGCCAGGCCAGGCGGCCGAAGTGCCGGTGCAGCAGGCGCAGGCCCGGCAGGGCCACGGGGAGCCCGTAGTGCGGGGAGAAGCCACGGCCCGGGACGGCGTTCAACGCCACGGTGCTGCCCGACGAGGCGTTGTGCAGTAGGGCTGAGAACACGCCGCCTGCAAGAGACAGACCCCATGAGCGCCTCCGAGAT